ACTGGCGCACCTGGGGCATGAGGAAGAAGCCGAAGAGCTTGCCGGTGATGAGGGCGAGCTCCGTGGAGTGGGGCCCGACGACGGCCAGCACGCGGGGCTGGTACCGCGAGTAGTCACAGTAGGCGGCGATGTCGCAGCTGCCCGCCTCGGCCATGAACACCAGGCTGGACTTCATGGCCACCACGGGCTCCGAGCAGGTGTCGAAGATGTCATGGCCCAGGCGCAGGCCGGGCAGCAGGGCCGACCCCCGGTTGATCTCCTCCACAGCCATCTTCATGGCCAGTGCCCAGAGCAGGCCGAGCGATGAGAACCTGGGGCCACACAGGGTTGCAGGGGACGACACCTCATCCCTCCTGGGGGGCCCCGCCTGCCCCCCTCCCCCTGCTCCCTACCTGGTGCACATGGTGGTGTTGGGCTGGGTCCTGGGGCCCAGACCCGTGTCCTCGGCGGCGCCCAGGGGGAAGAGCCCCCCCAGCACGTAGTCCCCCTGCATCCTGAGCTGCTGGGACAGACACAGCGGGGCCCCTGCCCCGAGGCCCAGCAGAACCGAGAGGCCCAGCAGAGCCAGGCTGGACATGGCGGTGGCGGCTTCTGATGGGGACGGCCCGCGGGTGGGCCCAGATAGGGTGAGCCAGGCTGGGAGGGGTGGAGGATTTGTTTAGCAAAACTCTCCTCACCTGCCAAGCCCCGGGGGGCCCCTGGGCCTGAGGTTTGCACACGTCAGGGTCTGTTGTCCTAATGCGACCAGGCCCTCTGGCCGACAGTGACCTGGGTAGGCAGGCTCTGAGCAGCTACTGCCCGTGACCTCATTACCTGCTGGTGCCCAAGCCCCTCACCCACCCACTCCTGGAGGGGAGGAGGGACACCCAGGATTTCTCTGCCCGCGGGTCCTGGGCTCTCCAGCTGCCTGTGGGAGGGGCTTGGAGTAGGCACAGAACACTGGTCTCTCCCACCCTGGGGAGGGCCATCCGCAGTCAGGAGGGGCTCCATCTGCATCCCAGGGGCAGCCTGAGGTGGGGCCAGGGGGCCCTGCCCGCCCACCTGTGGCTGGGGTGGGGCCATGCCTCTCAGCCTGCCTGTGTCCTGCCCAGCTCTGGGTACCTGACAGCAGGTGCCTCCCTCTGGGGACAGGGCACTCATCTGGGCCCTCGGGATTGCATGCAAAGGAGGGAGAAAAGCTGTAACCAAATGGGCCACAGCGGCTGAGGTGGCACCAGGTGTGCAGAGGGCGGTGGCAATGCCTTCTCCCTTGCACCCAGGCCCCGCTGACCCCGTGCTGGGAGGGAAGGTGCACCCAGGAGAGCTGGGGGTGGGGCTCCAGGCATTTCAGCCCTGGCTGGGCCTGGCAGATGTTTACAGGAAGTGCCCCCACTGCCTGTGGGGAGGGCCCACTGCTCGGCACACACAGGACACGCACATGACACCCACAGGTGCCCCCCCCACACACACACAGTGCACTGGACCTGCACGCCCATGCTACACACATGCAGTGCATTTTACATGCACACCCGTGCCACACACACACAGCACGCTGGACCTGCACACTCATGCAGTGGATTCCTGCACCTGCATGCTACACACGCACAGACCACTGCATCTGCATGCTACACACTGCAATATATGCATGCGTGCACCTGCACACACACGTGCAGCCTGCGCTCTGGCCCCTGTGGCCCCCTGGCCGTTCTCCCAGCCAGTCCTACATTGTCATTGGCCTGTGCTGGCACCACCTGGGGCTCGGCTCTGCTTGGTGTGGGAGCAGCAGCGGAGCCGGCACTGCATTGGGGCCCTGATATTGGGGCGCAGTGATCAAGGGGGCCCTCCGGACACTGTGTGGCAGAGCAGCCCCACCTCCCTGGGCTGGCCCAGGCTCCGCCCACGCAGCTCAGCCCCTCAGGTGCTCTGTCTTCTCACCAATTAAATGATAGTTCTGTGACCTCGGTAGAGGTGGGACCATGGTGGGCGGGGCTGACTCTCCCTGTGGCTGCCCGGCCCTGCAGTCCTGGCTGTGGGCTCAGCCGCCCCCTCTCCCTGGTAAGCAGATGCGGGGCACACGCCACACCCCATCCTGGAGTGCAGACTGTGCTTCTGTAACTGTAATTTATTTATCACCCGTATTGCAGTGTTCAAGGGTCCCCGCGAGCTCACACTCGTGCTCACACTCGTGTGCGAGCGCTGCACGGCCAAGCTGTGGCACCAGGGTCCTGAGGTTACAGTGAAGCCAGTGGGCAGGCCAGGCTGGGTGAGCCCGTCAGGCAAGTGGTCCAGGCCCCGCTCTGCGGTGTATCCTGGGTCTCTGGGCTCCGTGGGGACAGGCAGCACGGGGCAGGGAGAGGGGATGCAGCAGTGCTGGGTGCCAGGGAGGCCAGCGGGCCCAGCGGGCAGGGGCTCCGGGCTGAGCTGTGCAGACCCAGAAGCAGCTGCCTGGGGGAGCAGTGTGGTCGCAGGAGCTGCAGCCGTGCAGAGCTGGAGGCAGGGCAGTCCGTGCTCCCGCTGCCTCCCGGAGGGTACATGGGCCCCGGCTAAGGAGATGGGGGGCAGGGAACGAGACGCAGTGCTAACGCTGCCCAGGCTCCCTCCCTGCCCCCGGGACAGCCGGCCTGGTCAGAGGGGCCCCAGGCAGCCCACCTGCCACGACACCAGGACCCTAAGGGCACGAGCAGCACCCTTGCTGATCGTCGGCAGTGAGGAGTCTGCTCTCCGGGGACCTGGGACGCTCCGGCTGCGCAGACTGGACTCACAGGTGAGGGCAGCCTCTTGGGCTTTGGCGTGAACTCTGATCCCGCCCCACCTTCCCTCCTTCCGCCCTTCACCCACCCACCCGGCCGGCCGGTGCCTGCCTTCTCCGTCTGCAGCCCACGGGGGCCGCGCCAGGCCCGTGGCTCCCCACAAGCTCAGAGGACGGG